TGCAGCTATGGAAGTGACCACATGGCAGCTACAGGGCTGAGATTGTTTTAACAGAGGTGCCAATTACTGCTGTTCTTGTATTGAATCCTAAAGCAGGTGGAATTCTTCCTCAAGAGAAAATGCCAAGGAAAGTCACATCATAGCTTTGCTGTTTCTGCAGAGCACTGAGCAGTGACTGCAAAGTGCTGCTGCATTTTATTTGCTTCCATTTACAGTCCATTGACTGACCTGCACTCTGCAGGAACAGCCCTGGGATTAGAATTTAATGAGTCAGTGGCAAGGGGGACAGAGACAGGTGTCTCCTCTAAGTATGGGTGAAAGGGCCATTTATGTGTCCTATGAATTATGTTAAAATCCATGGGAGTAGATAACATCCAAAGCACTCTGGCATTTAAAAGGGCTCTCAGTGGTCACCCAGACAGGCACCTTGGGGCTGCTCTGTGTGTCCTGAGGGTTTGGTCCCCATGGGCAGCTGCTTAGGTTTGTCCTGTTTCTGTGCCAAAACAGCTTGTGCAGACACAGGGATCTGCTGTGGAGTGATTGCAGAGGGATTGTTCCAGGGGCAGAACTGCCACGGACACATCAGCTGTGGTTTATGCCACGTGCCAGCTTCCTTTGGGCAGGGTGGTGTTGGGAAGGTAGAATTAGAAAGAAATTATAAATATGACTCTTTAGCCAGAATGGCTAAGGAAGAAATACAAATGAAAGCACGGTTTGAATAATTCCAAGAAACCGGGCTGGTATGCCAGAACACATTCTGTCCCCCAACAAAACCAAGCTGAGACCCCTCTCCCCACCCTTATAAGGTCTGAAGGACCCTGAGATAACTAAAAATATACAAAAGCAGCGATTTCTATAGGTCACACACAAATGTTACTGTATTAGTGTACTTAGAAAGATTGGTTAATGAAGGAATAGAATATTCAAATGTATAGGTTATATAAGGAATTGTAAAAGAGAGTTCTCTCTCTTGGTCTCTCTTGGTCTCTCTTGCTATGCTCTTTTAGCCCTCTTGCCTCTTGCTGCTCTTTTTCCCCAGCTCTCTCAATTTTGTTCTGTCTCTTTCTTAGCAATCTTAATTCTTGAGCTCATGTATTCATATTTTACCCCTTTTGTATTGTTGTCTCTGAGCCTGCTTTGAGCTCTATCTGCTGGCTCATAGCAGGCTCTGTCTCTCTCCCACACCCTGAAATAAACTTCTAACACCTCACTCGATTATAGAGGTCATTGCTGTGTCTCAGACCATCCCCAGAAAGTGTCTCCTACAGGGTGGAGCTGTGCCTTGCTTCCAGGCTGCCTCATTTTGGGGAAAAGCAGCAGGTCCCAGCCCTTCCGAGGCAATTCCTGTCCCAGTGCATCCTGCAGAGCCACAGTGCCAGGCTCACAGCACCCCCATCCCATCCTTGCTAGAACCAGCCTTGTAAGGACCAGCCTTGTAAGGACCAGCCTTGTAAGGACCTGCCCAGCCCAGGGAGTGCTGAGTGATCCCATTGGTACAGCTGCTTTGTAACATAAAATAAACCATTTTCTATATCTGAAAGCCTGCAAGGTAATTAATATCCTAGCCATTAAATTCCACTGCAGTATACTCAGTGTTAATAAGCTAGCTAAGAGCTCTGCTTGAAATTAATAAGTTGCAAATGACCTAAGGGCCACTGCTTCATGCTTGCTTTTTACCTCATGTACCCCCCCAGAATTACAGAATTTAAATAGAAAGACAATTTTCATTTATAAGCTAGTATAATTATTCATAACTGGAGAGTTTTAAGGAATAAAAAGCTTTTCTGGTTAATTAGAAACTCCAGCATCTCAAGGAAATTAGGAAGGCAATAAAATCTGGGTTTGACTGAGGTGCACAAATATAAAGCACAAATCAAATGGAAGGGTAATGCAATTTCTGCAGAAATGTTTAAATGCATGATCCTGAGGGTCTAGCTGTCTGTGCAGGGAGCATGAAGCACACCAAAGGTGCAGCTGCCACATGTCCAGACTATTTCCCCAACTCCTGGCTACTCTCAGGGGAGGAAGATAGAGGGGTTTGCTTCAAGGATTGATCAGCCTCTGATCTGAAGGATCAGAAATGCTCTGGAGCTCCCCTGGCACTGACCTGCTTGGTCTGCCTTGAGCTGAGCTGCCTGGGAGATGTGAGAGAGGTGCTTGAACAGGAGCAGAACTGGGCAGCTGCCCTTGGAGTCACAAAGCTGAGATGATTGGGCCAAAATCTCCTCTCCCCTTCAAAAAGGGGGCAATGGTGGGAGAAACTTGGAATGTTTTTATGTGTAACTGGCTTTTGTTTCTTGCTCACATGACAGTCACCTACCAGCAGCAGAATCTCTAATAGATACAAATTAGGACAAGAAGATGTAGAATTGCAGCAATGCTCTGCTAATTATGTGGCTTGTTTAGCAGGACAGCTGGGCTGTGGTTTTGTTCCTGTCTTTTCTAAGGTGGCATTGCTCAGAGATGCTGAGGAAAGGGAGGGAAGAGCCTTGGAAACTCAGGTTATTTGCATCCCTTGTATGTGTGTGGGTTGCCTCTGTGCCAAGCTATCAGCCTGATTCCCATTTCCCTGTACTTAGGCAGTTCTCTCCACACTCTGTGAATTCTGGGTGCTTCTGCTGAGCTGCTGTGCTCAGAAGCATCACTGATGTGTACAATCTCCCTGTAGCTCCAGATGCTCATCTTTTCTCCCATCCCTACCCTATCCCTTAGGGACAATTAGGGAAGAGCTTGTAAATTCATAATTGTGGACCTTCTCAAACCCAGATTAGTTCCTCCAGTCTATCAGATGAATACATATTTATAAGTGTGCTTAAAAATGCACCATCCTTCACTCAATGAGGTGTAATGAATCCATCATGTAAATACATGCTCAGGTGCAGAATGGAAAAATCCTCAGGGAATTTTTTAGGATTAATAGAAGGATGTTCTTTGAGTTGCTTGGCTTCTTTCAAAAGTGATAATAAAAGTGATTTAACTATATACAATGCACAGGAGTAAGTTAAAAGAGCTTAAGGATGATCTCACCTATGCTGCTGAGATCAGACTCTGAAAAGTACATCTTCCCATTTATAAAACAAAAGAAATCAGTTATTGATACAAGAAAAGGTGTTTGGCATATGTGAATCTGAAATTTCTTACTATCTAGTCCCTTTTCTGCTCTGGTAAGACATAACCAGTTTTGTATCTCTAGTTTTCTATGGAACATGTAGTAAAGGCTTTCTGGGGATGCTGGGCTGGTAGAAGCTGTCCCAGTGCTGTGAGCAGGGACAGGAATACCTGAAGCCAGAGCTTTCTGTGTCTGAGGTAGTGCTTGAGGCACAGCAGGTGGAGGCTGGTGTGACCAGGAGCCTGCTGAGCAGCAGAACCATCGGAGAGATGGGCTCACAAAGGGTGAGGAATGTGATCTGGTGCACAGCAGCAGCTGTGCCCTGGTGGGACTGAGGGAAGAGATGGGAATCCAGAGAACTTTCACTCATCTGGGCTCCACAAGCCACATGTTTGTGGAAAGTGCTACTGCTCTGTGCCTTGGTTTCCCTGGTTTCTCTTGGTTTCTCAGGTCTGTGAGCTACACCTGGAATATTGGCTGTGGAACTGCTGAGTCTTACTGGGCTCTGATAAATGCACTCTTGCCAAGGTTTTACACCTCCCTGTAGTCTCCTGGTGTCTGATGTGTGCCACTGGCCCAGTGGTTCTGTGTTTCTGTCTTTGGGGAAGGTGCTGCTGAGAGGGCTGAGGCTCTGGAGGAGAGCTGGTAGTGATTGCTGTACAGGGGGGCTTGCAGTGAGGGTTGGGGTTTGGGACTGTTCCCCTGGTCAGTCAGACTTTTCTTTCTTCCTCCACGTGAGCACTTCTGAGCTCTGCTGTGGGAAACCACAGTGGGAGAATCCCCTCTCTCCTAAGGCAGGTGCTGGGTCTGGGAGGTGACTGGGAGCAGGCTGAGGAGAAGGCTCTGGGGAGATGTCACTGCAGCCTTCCAGAACTTGAAAAGAGCTTATAAAAAAGGAGGGAGAGTGGCTTCATATCATGGATAGTGATAGGAGAAGGAGGAATGTTTTTAAACTAAAATAGGAGAGATTTAGATTAGATGTTAGGAAGAAGTTCTTTATTCAGAGCATGGTAAACATTCAGAGCACAGGTTGCCCAGAGAAGCTGTGGCTGCCCCATCCCTGGAAATGTTCATGACCAGGCTGAATGGGGCCCTGAGCAACCAGATCTAGGGGAAAATGTCCCTGGCCATGGCAGGGAGGTTGGAACTGGATGGTCTTTAAGGGCCCTTCCAGCCCAGGCCTTTCTATCATTTTGATTTGTGTGTCCATCATTATCACACAAAGTGGTGCTGACTCATGGGGAGCCCTTACACAACCACATCTGTTTTCCTTCCTTGTACTGCAATTTCTCTGTCTGCAGAATCAGCCTTTATTACAGTTTTGAGTGTTTAGTTTAGCATTTTTCTACTCACAAATATATAGTAGTGAATCTTAAAATAACACCAGGGCATGTCTCTAGGACATACCTGTGATTACAGTTAATCAGGGCTCTAAGTGCTTCATTGGGCTGATGCCAGGGCTCTCAAGCACACTCAGAGCCAAGCTTGCCTCTCAGGTTCTTCTGCTGTGAACTTCCTCCAGGTTACTGTTTGCCAGGGGAGGGAAAACTCAGAATTACAGCTGGAAGTGAGCCTTTCTCATCTCAAGTTAGGAAAATCTGCAGACTCTTATCCTGCTCCTAATTAATAGAATCTATTCTACTTTCATTGCATGACACTACTTAACTCCTTAGAAAGGAGAAGGCAATTATTTTGGAGCATTAACAACTATCCTAATTTAATGTTGCATGGAATAGCTGATGCAGAAAGAAATCTGAAATTTTATGGCTACAACTGTCCAGAGTCTGCCTGCCCAAAAGGAAAAGACTTTTTTACCTAGAACAAAGGGAGGAATGAGTCAATAAACAGAAAAGGGGCAAAACATTTTTCTCCCATGTCTCTTTTCCCACAGATTCATTAATTGCTGTGTGCCAGAAGACAGCAGCTGGTCCTTGTCATACTTGTAGAGGGAATATTGTACCCTCAGCTCTGATATTTGCAGGTGAGTCCTGTGGTAGCATTTGTGATGCTGAGTTACCTCTGTGCCATGATGTAATTTACTACAAACCTAGAGATGCTGCAGACAAAAAGCTGAGCATAATAAAAGTTTTCATTTTAGTCCAGGCTGAGCTTGTGTGAATGTTCCTCCCATCAAATCCACGAGCAATAGGGCAGGTGCTGCATGTTACCAGTTGCCACAGGTCCCAAAATCTTAAAAATAAAATAAAACCTGGTGGCACACCCAAGCATGGGACTGCTGGTCAGAACAGAAATCAGTTTGCAGATGAGGCACCTCTTTTATTGCTGGCACACTTTTTCTCCTGAACATTAGACCTCTCTCTTTGTTCTCTGTTTGAAGCCAGCTTGATGGTGCTGTGTAAATTCTCTGGGTTTTTTTCCCCCAGGATCAGGATTGATGAGCAGCTTTCACGTTCAGACTTGGGATGTTTATTTTTCCTTATCTATATTGCATTTTTACAGGCAGTAAGCACTTCTACACACTAACCTGACAAGCCACAGATGGCGACCTCAGGCTCTGTCTACCAGGCCTTTTAAGCATAAACTATGCAATTATCAACTGCCAACTAATTTATTTTTACTTTTAACCCAATAGCCAAACACCTGTGTTCCACACCACAGACTTTTCTGTCCAATCCCCCCAATCCCACCCAAAACCATGGAGAAGGAAGAAAGGCAAAGGTAAGAACCAAGAACCTCCATCCTGCCTCTTATTCACTTCTATATATCAAACTCTGTATTTTTCACCCAGTGACTTAACCTAATTCTGTCTAATTCACATATTCACATTCCCAGCTTCTCCACTCAGTTTTAGAAGCCTTCTCCACGGTCTTAAGTTAAACCTGGCGTTCTCTTGAGTGCCTGAGCTTGTCAGCACAAAGGGACATTTTCTGTGCCTGGGACTCCAACAGTGCTATGTGTCTCCTACAAGGTTCTGATATTCCCCCACTGAGCTCTGATACAGAGAATTACTTTTAAATGCCTTTCTAAACCTCGATTTCTTGTACTGTAAGCAGTTGTGGGGCTGTGTATTTGGGATACACAAATACAAATACAATCTGTGTAAAGCTGGGGCACTGCTAGGTGAAGGTATTCCAGCTGTTCAGGTATGGCCTTTCCAAGGGCCCTGTGCCTGTTTTGGTGACAATTGGGTACAAAACACCTTTGGGGGGTCCAACCCCTTCCCACCTTGTGCTCCTGGGAGGCTGCCACGACTGTCCCTGGGGTCTGGCATGCTGTTGATGGGTAGGATCAGCTCCTTGGCAGCGACAGCCAGCAGATCCTTCCTCAATGATCTTTCTCCTATAGTGTCCTTTTATGTTTTTCTTTAAACATTACCATTTCTAAAGTTAAAGCCTAAAGATATTGTTGAAAAGTTTCATTAAATGTTACAGCTCATTATGGCTTTGATTACTGTAATTTTTAATGTGGGATGTGCCTTCTGTAATGTGAGTCTCTTTGTGCTCCCTTTTTTTCTCACATAAAGCAGAGTGTTTTACCATCCAATTACAGTGGACTTCACAGAGGTAGCTGAGGGGAAATATTAATTACCCTTTGTCCCAGCTCATCTCTTGATACATTTTGTAATATCTCAATTATTTCTTTTTACATTCTTCGCATTGTGAAGCCAATGTGTAAATTAAAAACAACCAGGAAGGTCAAGGTTTGGGGAGGGTGTGCAAAATCCTCATCAGCTGTGATTCTTTACTGTTTGTGTTGCTGCAGCAAGGAATCCAGGGCTGGGGCACAGAACTGGGCCCTGGTTCACCTGATCCCTGTTCTGCTCCTGATGTCATAGGGGTGATGGATTTCATGCCCTAACCTCAGCAACTGACTAAACCTAGTGGTAAATTGGGAGAGCAGAGGAGATGGAAAGACCTGGCTATAGTTCCTGTGGCCAGGTACTCATTGAAGTCCCCTCCAACTCTGTAATGACCATTAATGACTAATTAATGGCTCCCAGTACCCCTACTGATTAACTTAACCAGAGTGGCATGTTGCTGCTGAATATGAATAGATCACAGGCACACAGGTCGAGGTGTGGTGAAAAGAAGAGAGAGTTTATTTCTTCTCCCAGGATTTATAGGTTTCTGACCACAGCCAGGGATTGGATGGTCAGGATAACACTTTCCCACTGCACTGGCCATGAGAGATGCCCATCACAAGACGTGTAACAGAAGGAATGTACACATATCTATGTTTACAGTTACTGTCCTGGGAAAGTCCTTAGAAAACTTAGCAAGCTCAGAAGCTGAGTTTTCAGGGTGACATCTCACCCTTTTTGGCTTAACAAAAAGTAAAAATGAACAAAGAAACTAGCAACATTATAAACAATCAAAAGGATAAATAACAGGAAAATACAATACTCCATACAATCAGAAGGCTGTAATTTCAGGGTGATAGTGGTACCCATGCAGAAAAGGGGGGTCTTCAGGGCATTCAGGGCCCTGCTGGCACGAGGATCCCCCCAGCCTGAGCAGTGGCCAAGGAATCAGCTGTGCTGCTGTGGCCAAGGCTGGGGATGGGCTTGGCTGTCTGTGAATCCAGCTCTGCTGGGACAAGCTTCCTCCCTGGCAGCGAGCACTGGGGAATGCTGGCAGCTCTCTGCCCCAGAGGAGCAGGAAGGAGATGGTTTTCAGCCCGTGCTCATGGTGGCCTGCTTGCTCCTGGGCTCCTGCTGTAATTGACTGAGGCCCAGTGCTTTATAAACTGCACTCTTGGAATGATGGATGGCAAGCCTGCCTTTGCTGCTGCTACCTCAGCAGCTGCAGGTTTGTTTTCTCCCCTCCCCTGCATCAGAGCTGCGATCAGGGCAAGGCAGAGATTTCTCTGACCTTGATCTCAGCATGAGTTTGCTCCTTTTCCTCCCACCCCACCACGCACCTGCTTTCCCCCTTGCCTTGGGAAGGGTCCAGGGCAGAGAGGGCTGCTCAGAGAAGCAGGAGAAGCCTGGGGACAGCCAGGTAGTGCCCCATGGGTGCCAGGGGCTTTGCTGAGGGAAGGAACGAGGAGCAGGCAGCAAACAGCACCTGGCTGGCAGCTGGGCAGAGCCAGGGCAGGGACACAGAGCTGCCCCTCCTGTCCCTCCAGCTGCACCTCTGCAGGGGGACTCTGCTCTGCCCAGTGTTCCAACAGCACTGCCTGCCTGCTGGGCCTGCAGGAGTTGAAATTCCTGCTCTGTCTGGCTCTCCTGTGCATCCCCCAAGAGAAAATACCACCTGGGAGATGATCTGCAGCAGCTTGGTGCTGGGCAGAGGCAAGAGCCAGCCTTGCCATGGGGGACAAGCTGGCCTGGCCCCACTGGTGTGTGTGGGAGGTTCATTCATTGCTTGGTGGTTCTGTGTTACACGACCCACTTTAAAAAAAGGCAACTTTTTCTTGTCTGTTTTGAAACTGTGAAATGAGGTGCAGTAATCAAGGAGGATTTTAATAACCATCCCAGCCCTGACATTTAAATTACAGATGGCATTTTCAATTAAACAAGCACTCTCAGCAGGCTTAATTTAGCTATCAGTTCTGCTTTGTTCTTTAAGTGTTTCCTTAAAAACAGTGATGAATTTAAAACTTGCTCCAAAGGGAGAAAAAAAAAATAAAATAAGGCATCAGAGATGAGTGGAAAAGGGGAAGCCCCTTCAGGGATTGCTGAGTGTGCAGGGGGAAGCCAGAGGCTGAGTGGATCAGGTCTGTGCAGCCTTCAGGGATTGCTGAGTGTGCAGGGGGAAGCCAGAGGCTGAGTGGATCAGGTCTGTGCAGAGGGTGTCTACCTGTGTTTATAATAATAAATAATAAATATTATATTATTATAATAATTATATTATTGTAATAATATTATATATAATTATAATCCTGTTGTCATCATTATGTAGGAAGAAAAAGTTCATTTGCTAAATACATTGTTTTTTCAAAGCATTCTTCAGAGGAATGAGATGATGATTCCTCAGGTCAGTGAAATTCTATTGACTCAGTTAAAAAAATCATAAAAACCTCTTTTCCAGTAATATAGACAATGCCTTCAAACTGCACACTAGCATGGTTTTTCAAGGTTTCCTTTTTTGCCCATCCTCCAAAGCAGGAGGTCAGAACTCACACTAGCTTGGCTTACAGCCATGCCTCTCAGATAATGCCTCTCACATTAACAATGCTTATCTGAAACTGAATCTTTGCCTCCCTGAGGCACCTCACACCAGGGGATGGGCAGTGTGAGCCCTGGATGAAGTTACCCCACCCCAGACCCCTTGTGAGGGGTGACCCAGGGGTTCTGATTGGGTTTGAGCCCCTGGAGTTTCTCTCCTGTTGTGTTTCTGGTGGTCCCTAACCCTAAACTCCATCCTCAAAGGTGGAGAGCCTCAAGGGTTCTGTCCCTCAAAACCCCTCACCCTGCCTTTGCTCAGAGCTCTCTGACTGTGGATCTGAGTTTGTTCCATGCTGAAGAAATGGTTTCATGAACAGAAACCTGTCTCATTCACATGCTGAATAAATGATTTCATGACCAGAAGCCAGTCTCATTCCTGTCCCATGCTGGTTCCCAGTATCTGCAGCTTCCCTGGACATGATCCTGAGGTTGCAGACTGCAGCACCAGTTGTGTTGTGCAGCTGGGACAAGTGCTGCTCTCCAGAGCCTGTCTGGCCCTCTGAGTTCCAGTGGCCTGTTTGGTAACCCAAGACAAAGCTCAGGGCTGCATCTTCCACATCTCCTCTTGATCTCCATGAATGAAATCCTGCCTGAGTTTTCTTGTGTGTTTCCAGTCCTCTGTGGCAGAGCTCACAGTCCCTTAGGTCAGAAACTTCTCCTGTTACCTCCATCCCCAGGTGAAAAGCTGGATTTCTGCCCTGCACAATTTCAGGTCAGCTGTCACTCCTGATACTGAAGTGTTATGAATCCAAATTCAACAAAACAATTTGGGAACGTCCTGCCTGGGCCAGAGCTCAAAAAGGGAAAGGGATCAGGAATTGCAATGCCAATATCTGGGTTTACATGAAGGGCCTGGATGCCACAGCTCTCTGAGGGTGTAATTCTCTTGGCCATCATCTGCTCGTGGTCCCCAGCTGGTGACTTCAGTGACAGAAGTGTGTTGCATGAATTGAGGCCAAGGTCCTGCTCCTTCCTTTGGAGGGGCTATTATGGCACTTGGAGAAGAGCCTTTCCCTTTTTTTCTGCTGAAGAGATCACCCACTCCTTGTAGCTGGCACGAGGAGGCTCCTGCATTTCTTTCCAGTGTAAAACAAGGCTGGATAATTTCATCACCGCTAATAACATTTCTAGCAAGGCAAGCTACCATAATGATAAGGGTAATTTAATCTCATGCTTCAGGGATAAGCTGAGCTCAGGAGGAGAATCAGGGAGGAATTCATTTCCCCCTTCCCTGTGGAAGCTGCTTTGCACAGTTGATCATTTGAGTTGAAAGGCTGATGCTCTCCGTGGCACAGGGGCTGGGCTGACCCTAACAGCTGGTACAGAACATCCCTATTTCCTGCTGTCCGTCCTGGCTCCCTGATCTGGGGAAAATTGAGAGCCAAATTCGCCTGCAGTTGTTCCAGAAGGGGAGAGGGTGATGAGGGGAAGGTCCTGAGAGTCCCAGTCCCTTCCAGCCTGCTGGCACGTGCAGGTGTGTGCTGAGAGATGATCGCAGAGGACAAGGGGGACAGGAGGAAGAGGAGCAAACTCTGAAGTTATCCCCTATCAGGTATCCTGTGCAACGAGCTTGGTGTAGAAAAACACACAAACTTTGATAGTGGTGAATTTTAATGCCCAGCCCTGCTTGGATTTTTAACTTTTTGGGGGCATGAGCTAACCTATAGGTTATAACCTATAGGGACAGGCAATGAAGTGGACAATATGAAGCCAGGATGAGAATACCAGCTCTACTAAAATCTGTGAGCTGTGGTAAATCTAAGTCCCAGGACTTAGAAAGTCTCTTCCTATCTGTCATCAATAGCAAGGAGTTCTAATTCCTGCAGTCACATTACAAAAAATGTTCATGGTATTTATGGTGGAAACTTTATTTCAAATACCTTAATTGGAGAAAATCCTGACTGAGTCAAAACTAAGAGGAGTCTTAGGAAGCAAAATGTGTCTGCATAACTTGTACTCCCAGCTTCTAATTTCATCTAGAGGTGAATGCATTTTAGTGGGGTCTGAGGAGATCTCTTAGTACCTTTCTTTCCCCTCAAAGGAGCAATGTCATTTAATTGCCTTATTTATGCTTGTTGGGAAGACAAAGTGTTCTGGGCTGTGGGAATGAGAGGGACTATAGAGAATAATTTCACACAGAATCACAGAACCAGCTAGGCTGGGAAAAACCTTTGAAATCATCAAGTCCAACCTCTGACCTAACATCTCATTGTCACCCAGACCATGGCACTGAGAGTCACATCCAGTATTTCCTTAAATACCTCCAGGGACAGAGACTCCAACACCTCCCTGGGCAGCCCATTCCAATGCCCAGTCACCCTTTCTGTGAAGAATTTCTTCTTAATGCCCAACCTAAACCTTTTTCAGGGTTTTAGATGTTTTCAGGACCTTTCTGGTGGGGTCTCACTAGAAGGACCTGGCTGGCTGAGCTGGAGAGAGCAGATGTCTAGCACACAGTGAGAGAAAGATGTCAGCAGACAGTCATCTGCCCCAGCCCTCTCACTGTACTCCATAACTGTACTTTTAAATGGATTTATTTCCTCCAGTGCTCCATTTGGATAGGATCAGGTGGTAGAGTTGTTTCAAGGTCTGTGAGTGGGCATCTGAGACTTTGAAAATGAAATTATATGCTCAAGAGCCACGCAGGGAAACCATACAGAGCAACTTTTTTTCTTTCTTTTTTTTTCTCTTATTTATTTTTTTTTTTTTAATATTTATTTCTTTACTCACTTCTAGGAGACAAAACCCTATACTCAGCTATGCTAGTCCTGGAGGGTGGGGTGGTGGGGGCACAGGCACAGGAGGCAAGAAAGCATTTCTATTCATTTTTTACCTCAGAGCAAGTGTGAATTATTCATGGAGCTCCAATGACTCAGTGCTGAGTTGTTTTTTGGGTTTTTTTTAACCTTAGATCTCTCAAGGAACAGGAGAAGTTTGGCCCCCAGGACTTTCAAGGAGTCCTTTGTCATGTACCTTTGTTATTTATTCTTTATAATGAAGCTTCTAGAATTAATTCCTAAGAAAGACAGTGCAAAGAAACATTCCTGTCACTGAACAGTCTTCAGAGCTGTGCTTAAAAGATTTCCAGGTGGCAAATAAATGCCTCAGTGGACTCTAAGTCAATTGACTCATGATGTGATGGATGGTGTCTACTCTTGTATTGAAGCTGTCCTTGATGTCCATCACCTGCTGCCTTCCCTGGCTGTGAACACGGGATGGGAACGCTGCAGTGGGATGCACAAAAGCAGTTCAGCCTGGGACTAGGTCTCTTTTGAGGTTACCAATCCCCAAAGTATTGAGGATATTGAAGTAGATTCAGATTAACAGATTCAGAGATCAGATTTCTTGACATTCACTTGCATTCCTGCACGTGCCAGGAGGAACACTGAGTGGTAATTTCTCCAGGTCTCTTTCCAGGTAGGACTGTGATAGTATCAAGTATTTATTTGGGCTGTCTCTGAGCCCAGCCTCAGACTCCTGATTTGCTGTGCATGTCGATGAAAACGAGCTCCCTGTGGGATGGGTTGGGATGATGAGCAAGGAGAAGACCCAGAGAGGGGAGCAGTGGCTGCTGTCATGGTCAGGATGGGAATTGCACAGCAGGTTTGAAACAAACCCTGTGTAGCACTGGCAAGCAGGGCAGTGTCTGGAGCAGAGCCCTCTCATGATTGTCTTCATGATTGTCTGTCAGCAGCATCTCCTTTTCTGTAATGAATTTGTCACACCATAAGTACTGCAACTACTCATTTCTTTGAGCTGAAGCCCTCAATGGCAACAAATCAATATAATTTCCTTTGTTTTATCTGGTTTTCCTTATAAATGCTGCTACCATTAAAATCTAGAGGAATCCTGTGCTTCTTCGAATGTGCCACATTTTCAGCACCCCCTTCCCCAGGTGGTGCAGCCAATGCCCTGAGAGTGCATCAGGAGGGATTAGTGCTCCTAGTGAGCACCCAGCCTTCCTGTGAAAGGCTGAGCTGAAGGGTCTTACCTCAGATATTCCAGCAAACAGCCCCTGAGGTGTCATCGAGGAGCTGGTGTTGCCTGTGGGGGACCCCAGATGTGCCAGTTAACCCCCCCAGGCAAAGTGTCAGAGGCTGGACAGGAAGAAAGAAGAGTCAGCTGCTGTGTGCTGCCCCCCCAGACACGACATCCTGCAGGCTTGGCCCAAGACAGGACAAAGGAGGAGTGTTTTCATGTTTATTTCGGTGATTTTGGATCATCACTGAGTCATCCACTCTGCCTGGCCTCTCACACCGAGTGCTGTGTTTTGTGGTGGTGTTTGCTCAGCAGCCTTGGACAGGTCATTGTGCCTCCAATCCCTGTGGTGGGGGTGGGCTGGAGCTGTGCTCTCTGCTCTGCCCAGCCCACTGATAGTGGGTGACTGCTCTGAGGACTGGGGGACACAAGCATCTGACTGGGGATGCTCCCCGATTTCTTTAAAAGTTGCCTAGAAACCAAACTCAATATTGCTGAACTTCACCAGGTCTGCAGTGCAGAACTTGCTGCACAGGGAAAAGGATTTTTTTGTTTTTATTATTATTTTCTACTTTTTTTTTTTTCTTTTCTCTCTCTTACAAGAAATAACTCACTTTTCAGCTGTTGGAGAAGGTAGTAATTGATCTAGAGCTTTGCAGTTTGCCTTCCGGAATGGTTTTTTTATTCTTGATGTAGGAATAAAATTCTGTTAGGTCAAATACACAGCAATAAATACAAGAAGCACATTAACTTTAATATATTGGATTATTCCACTTGGTGGTGACGGGGAAAAAAACAAGATTTAATTCCCCTGGCAATGCAGGCAAAGAAAATCGCTTTCCCTGCCCATGGTTTTTTTTTTCTGTTAAGTCATTTTTGTCTGTCAATGCTGGTGCTGCAGGCTTTGGAGGGGTTTAATTTTACATTTTTTTTTAACCTGGTGTGAAAGTAAGAAGTATTTTCTCCAAGTAAATTGCTCACAAATTCTCTCAAGGCCTTTCATTTCTGGCTGTTGCAGACTCCTTCCCCTGTGAGCTTTGTGGGGCTCTCGGTACTGTCAGAGAAAGGAGGATTGTCATGAGTTGGAAAGGTAGGGTGTGTTTTAGCTTCACTCTGCCATGGCAGTGGGGCACTTCAGGTGTTCTCCTTTTTCCAGGTATTCTGGTGTTGGTTTCTCTTCTTTCCCTGAAACTTCTCAGTTAAAATTAGGATTTGCTTTTCCATGCCAACTATTTTTTGTGATATACCACTGCCCTTCAGTGCCACATCTGTGGTACCTTTCCTCGTGTCCCACTCTCCAGGGCTGCCTTAGGGCTCCCACACAGTGGGGAATGTTCCAGCAGTGCCTGAACCACTCCCAGGTGATATTCCTTGCAGTGCTGAAGTCTTTCCTCAGGTCTCACAGTCAGTCCTTGTGCTGAGGCTTCCCTCATTTTTCTGGGAGAGCAGTGACATTAGAAACTTCTCCCACAGTTGTTGCCTTTTCACAGATTTCTGGTTTATATTTTATATTACTTCCTTGCTTGTCATCATGGCAGGCAGGTAGAAGATGTCTCTGCTATGGACAAATAGCAGAAAGACTTCAACAGGGATTTTGTCTGGGTGAGAGAGGAAACAGCTCACCATGATGGAGAACTGTAAGAAAGCATTTGCAAGGGTAAAGCCTTTCTAGCCAGAAAGCTTTGAAAAAAGGCTGGGTGAATCAGTCAGGAGAGAGGTACAGGTGGGAAGGGATCTGAGTGAGACAGGAGAAAGGGACTTGGAGCAGGCATTCGGGTTGTAAGGCTGGAAATGTGTGTTGGTTCCTAAGCATCTCTCTCCTGTGTGCAAGTTGGCAGGAGAGACTGGGGAAAAGCAAGGTAGGAGTGTCTGTAGGTACCTGAGTCTTTGCAGAGTTTTTATCTGCCTAGGCAGAGTTACCAATAAACCAGCCTCCTGCACCAGCACACAAACTCTGTCTGATTGTATTTGTCTGGGAGAAGAAAGACTTCATGAAAATCCTGCTGACAATTAATTGGCTTTTGTTCAGCAAGAGTGAACAAGATCTCATCTTAATCTGTTTCATTATTTCGCCTTGTATGGCACAGTCAACACAAGATTAGGTTTAATTTTCAAATAAAATGCGAAGTCATTACTCATATCTGGATCAGGATTTTATCTGCTTCATTTTGCAGTGCTTCGTGTGTCAATATTAACGAGAGGAGCTGCACTGTGTGTGGTGAGGTGGAAATAGCACTGCTTGACTTCAGGACCTTCAGCAAGGATTGCAAGTAGCACAGCTCTGGTACCATCCTTTCTCTACCCTCAGCTCTTCAGAGAAGAAGCTTTGTGCTCAGGGAGGCTTGGATTTTTATATCCCACTGCATTTAGTGCTTCTGAGCATCTGCAATGTGCTCTGTGGGAGGCACAGCACTGCCAAAGCTTCCTCCCCTCCCTGTCAGTGCCCGGCTCCTGCAGCAGTGGATTTGTTTCCCCAGATCCATCAGCCCAGGGAGAGCTCTCAGGGCTTTATTGCAGGCTCTCAGGGAGCACTGATTGCACTGTGGTTAATGGGTCTGCACAGATACCAGCTCCAGATGAGCTGCTCTGAGTGCCTGCAGGGGAGGTCAGCCAGTGTGGGATGGATCTGGGACTCCTGCCTGGCTGGGGAGGGATGCAGGGGGGTGGGCAGAGGGGCTGTGAGACACACACAGCCCTGCTGCTCTGGGTGAGACTTTTCTGAGTCTTGTGGGCTGCAATAAGGTTAGGAAATACTCTGCAAGGAAAGGCATGTCACTAATTTGAGTGATACTTCAACTCTAGCATAGTGTTGAGCAAATTGTGCTGCTTCCACTTGAATTTGAAAGGCTTTAGTCTATGTTCAGGCAGCTTTCAGTGCTCTGGTTACTCACTGCAGTTTAAAAGGCTGCCTGCATGCAAATCCAAGAGACAACAATCCTTCCAGAGTGTGCTCAGGTGTCCCAGATGGCAGGGTAACACTGGGGGCTGAGCAGCAAACCACGCCAGCAGGCACTGCAGGAGGGGGAGAAGCAAACACTCACTCCAGCCTAAGCTGCAGGCAGCGAGAAGAAGGTGCAGGGCTCAGCAGCAGACCCAAACCGCAGCACCCAGAGCGCTACATTGCAGCTCCTGTGCATCCTGTGCATCTCCTGCAGCCCGAGTGCCCTCTGCTGTCACAGCCCAGGGACACGGCTCCAGGAGGGTGACACAGCCCCCGGCTGGGCCTGCCTGGCTGTGGATGGCTTCTCTGTGTGAAAAACCAGGTTCACATAATTTTTATAGAATATAAAAGTTTAATAAAAAAAAACAATTAGGAGAAAAAATAAAGTAAATTATACAGATATGGCCAGGTGTCTCTGCATTCAGCCAAGAGAGCACACCTTGCTGACAAAGGATTGTCCCTTAAAAACAGAACCCTACTGCATATCCATAAATTCTCATCCATATTCATACATTCTTCTTAGGATCTTTGGTGTTCTTCTGTTTAGTTTTCTCTTGCCCCCTTCCCAATAGATCAATCCTCTTGGCACCATCGAGATTTACATTCCCTGATACCAGAAATGCAATAAATTCCTCCCCCAGAGTTCTGGTCACTGCTGTCTTCATCTGGATAAGAGAGTTTACAAATGAAGTTCTCCAGCTATTTATTTATTTTTTCTCAGTCTTTGGGTTATACAAACAAAAGCAGTTTTTATTTTAATACTATGCCATAGCCTAACATATATGTATTATACCACTATTTCTAAATTTCATCAATAACAGAAATAAAGAAAACTATATTAATACAACAAAATTTCTCATTCTTATACACATAACATTCATTTTAATATTTGCAAAAAGCCAACAATATAAAATGTATCTATAACATCTGTACCTGTGACATCTCTTCCTCAAGTGTCAGGCTTGCCCACGAGTGTGTTCTGTGAACAGCACAGGCTTTACCCACAGGCTGCTGTGCAGGGAGCCCAGCAATCCTTGTGCTTGCCAGGTTCTGTGAGAATTTCCAGCTGAACCCACTGGAGCTGCTCTCTCTGGAATTCCAAAGTGTCTCCCTGGTAAGAAAGCATATTTAGGTCTTTATTTCCCTGCTAGGTAAGGACTGAGGCCAGGGGAGTCACTGCTCTGAGGACATCAGAGGAGATAACTGCATGGAAGGAGGAGCAGGGCGAGCTCAGGGCCAAGGATGCTGACAGGTGCACTCCTTTGTCCCCTGAGGTCCCTGTGTGATGTGGGACAGCAGTGGAGGACGTGGCTGCAAAGGGACAAAAGGACAAATGTGTACTCAGGGAGTGTTTCTTCACCAGCCCAGTGCTCTCCAGTTCTTGGGAGGGTTTCTGCTCTTGACAGGCAAGGATAAATAATAATAATGGTTTTCCATCCCACTACCTGTGACCCTATTGATACCTGACCCTGAGATTATCTCATTTTGTGCTAATAACTCATGACACCAAGGTTGTGGGGTTAACCCCTGTATGAGCTGAGTTTATTTAAGAGTTGGACTCTGATCATTTTGGGTCCCTTCCAACTCAGAATAATCTGTCAATCTATTAATCTCTGCTACAGTTTTTGGGTGGATTTCTCTGCTGCAGTAGTTGATGCTTTGCTAGCCTGTCTTTCAGGAAGTGCCATTCCCAACCTCTGTAAACTGATTTAGAAGGAATCAAATTCCTACACTACCCTTCCTTTTACAATTGGCTAGAACAGCTGGGCTGCAAGCAACAGGGAATTCTCAGATAGATTACTTTTATTTTCTCCCCCAACTGTCCCATCCCCAATCGTCCCATCCCCAATCTTGAGTTGCCTAGTGGGGGAGAAAACTCCTCAATCTGTCCACAACCCCCCAGGTGGGCAATAATAGATGCTTCATATAGAAAAATTCAATTTGATTTGACAGGAGATGTATGATAGTGCTTCCTTGCCAGGACCCCATATTGCTCTGTTCTGTTCCTCTGCAAGAGACTTGCTGTAGAAGTTAGTATGAAAAAAATCAACCAACCAACCAACCAAAAAACCAAAACACACAAAAACCCCAAAAAAACCAAACAAAAAATCCACCACAAAACCAAAACCAACACAAGAAAACCCAACCAAAACCAACAACAACAACAAAAAAAAAACCTAAAAACCCCAAGAGAGGGGGAAAAACCAAAAGAGAAAACAAACAAACAAACCCCTTTTAACTATAATGGCATTTATATCCAAGATTAATTATAGTGGGCTTTGTAGAAAAGGAAATTACAGTGGTGTCTTGTACAGCTGGAGACACAAGGTATGAGCAGAACAGGGTTGTTGTGCTGTGCTAGGGCCTCTCTTGGTGCCTGGGAGTATTAAAGCAGGGGGGTAAGAGGGGTTCACGTGGTGTCTTGGCAAAGAGTGAAATGTTTCTGTCTTAAACTCTCCAGTTCCATCCTCCACCTGTTCCCTCCCACTGTGGGTGTTTGGAAAATGCTTCTGTGTTCAGTGTAGCTCAGCACTGCTGGGGTGCCTCGTGGGCATGATGTGCAAAGGAACACTAGCCCTTTCTGCAGCTCTTGTTGCCATGATCAAGACTGGGACAGGACCCTTTTGGGTGGTTTTGGCTCTTTGGGAATTTTTTTCTTTCTTCATCATGGATTTTTCAGCAAGACTCAATCTTTGTGTTTTAATGCTCAGATTTCTAAATACTCTGAGTCTGGGGGATGCAAATATCTGATCTAAATCACGTGGGCAGACCTTTTTGTGTCTTTTTTTGTGTCTTTTTGTGTCTTTTTTTGTCTGTACAGCACACATCTGCATTGGTCACTAGTGTTCCCAGAAGATACTGTGTAGTGCCACACAGCTGCTCACTGGTGCTGGCCAGCAGAAAGCAGAAAAAAGTCACATTGAGGTGGTGGGTGACAGCAACCTGCAGCAGCTGGGAGATTTAATACATGTAAGGCCTTTTGTCACAGTTACACTTAGTTTCTGTAATCCTATGAAATTGCATCATCTCAATTTCCATGAGGTCTGTAAGGTGTGAGAAGCCATTATGTCTCTGAATTGATGTCACCTTGGAACTGGCTGTACGTGTATGGTGCAGCCTATTCGGATTTACAGTGTTTGATCAAAATTCAAAAGGCATTTGGAACAAAATATTTATGTGAGCAAGACTTTTTTTTTTCCCCATGTACCCAGACACTGACTTGCTTTGGGAATCTAGTACTGACATGGCTGAATGTGAGGAGTAATTGCTCCCCTGAGGTCAGCAGTGGCTTTTGTGAGCAGCTCTGTGAGCAACGAGGCTGCAGGCACTGAGTGTCTGGGAAAACACCTCTTGGAGGGGAGTGGGAAGGTCAGGACAAGCTTTGCAGGTTGCCTGACAGCCCTGTGAACTTGTGGGGTGCAGGCATAAAGAGAGGGGAGAAAAGGCCTTGGGCAGCTGCATTCACTGTACCAGAGCTGCTGGGGAGGCTGTGTGTGTTCAGTGCTTCAGCCCACATAAACCCCAAGTGGGGACCATGGTCCCACCTCCTATGGACAAGGGCCACAATATCATTAATCCTGAGGTTTATCCTGACTGTAAGATGGAGACTTAGGAGAGGTTCAGTTTAACAGTTGCACTGAGGTGTGAAATATTGATCCTCTCACTTTACTGATTCCTTAGGAACAAATGGAGGGATTGTTTCTTCTGTGGGGCAGGGAGCTGGCAGTGAGCTGAATATTAACTAACAGCTGCATTAAAGACTAAGGGTGGGTAAAACAGCCCTGCATGACAGCGTGTGCAGGGGTAAGGCAAGGAAAATAATTAAATTCTGAACTGATTCTCGTGCCTCCTGGGTCACAACTAAGCTTGAACTCACAGCAGAGCTAGTGACAAGTGAGCTGGAGGGTGTGCAGCAGGGCTGGACTCTGTAGAATCCCTCCTCTACCTTCTCTGTGCCTTGAAAGAATTCCCACTATGTTTGAAATGCACTTCTGCTTGCTGGTACACTGCAGACCCATTGCACATCAAGTGCTTCCCCCAGGCCCAGGGTGCTGGGGAGCAGAGCATGAACCTCTTCCAGGGACACCCACGGCATTACACACGATAAACAACCCCTGCTTTCAGAGAGAACTGCCTGACATGCTCCACACAATCAGCACGGGGGACAAATACCCAGCACACAAGAGGAAATCCACACACAATTGTGTCACTTTATTATGTTTGCCTGGACTCTGGTGTGTGTGTGGCACCCAGCTGCAGCTGGGCAGGAAGCCTGAGGAAGTAGCAGGCACAGTGTCCAGGTGGGAAGCTCTTTCCCTTGGCTGCAGGCAGCAGCAGTCACTGCACATGAAGGGGGGCACTTAAATGGCAGCCCAGGATGGAAGACAGATGGATATAAAAATATAAATACACTCCCTAGGCAACACCAACTCTGTCAGGGGATGCTCTTCTGAGTGGAATAATTAGCAGGGACAGTCTTGATTCAGGAAAACTCAGGGGTCTGTTCAGGATGGGGCTCACAGCCCTGAGTGATATCAAGAAGCACAAGTGGGAGATGAAGTGCTGTCCTGTCAGCAAGCACGAGGCAGACGTGTACTGCTTGCAGACAGTCAGCAGAGGTGGAAAAGCCAACAGCTTTCTGTGTCCTGCTAGCAGAGTCACACTGGATGACAGGAGGCTTGTTACATGAAGCATGCAGAGGCCAGGAAGGGCTAAATGAGTTTGCTTTCATTTGTTCCCTATCCCCAATTTTTTCTAACCCGTTCCCCTAAGTTGTTGTCATCTCTCTCCCTTAACAATTATTCTCAGATGCCATCTATCTGAGGGAGCTCCCTGAAGCCCCAGGGTTGGACACCAGACAGGTTTCTCTTCCCAACACTTTCCTTGATAAATGCATTGTAAGAGAAAAGGATTCAGTATCTCTTGCTTTGCATTATCACTAAAAATTAAACTAATAGCACTGACAGCCAAGCTAGAGGCCCTCTGTGCTAAACAATGCTACCCATTTATAAATGGGAGAAGCCAAGGTTCTCACTGCAGGTCATGGAAACACGTGGGGACAGGCTCTGGGTTTCCCTGCTATGTTTTGATCTGTGGTTTTCTTTATTCTTTTCTTTCCACACTAACTTTCAGAAAATAAAGTATCCCTTCAAGTTAAGGGGTGCCCAAGTCTGGAAGCGGGCAGGACAGAGTCTGACTCCGGCTGGGTGCTGGGGACTAGAGCTGTAAGAGAGGAGGTCTGCAGGATTTTTAGGTGATCTGTCTGACAGAGAACATCAGTGCAAGGGCTGAGCCTGAGTCTTGTGATGCATTCAGAAATTCATTCACATTCTTTGCATAGTCCTCTTGAGGAAGGATGGGTGGTGGCTCCTGGCATCTTGCACGCATGTTCCTATGCAGAAAGGCCTTATAGCCAGAAGCAGCACCATGCAGAAACCATCCAAAGGCTAAGGGATGCCCTGAGGGAAGTCAGCATGCAGATCCTGGTTAGGCACAGCTATGGCTCCACTGTCACACTGCTGTTGGTGACACGTACACCGTACCAGCCCTTCCAGAACAGCGTGTCCTGGCCACCGTGCTCAAAGCGGACAAAACGGACCCCAGGCCCATAGCTGGAAAAGGTGTGGGAGATCTTTGGGAAAAGAGACAAAATAGTTGTTAGTAAGTGTTAAACCACAACAAACCTAGCGTTGTTCAGGGCACAGAGCCTTCAGCCCCACTGGCCACATTCAGACCCACCAGGCTGAGTAACAGAGGGGACATTTACAGTGGGAGAAGTTTTGATCACATTGTTCTGAGGCCACTTTATCACTCCATTGACAACTGTCCCAGGTGGACATCACCTTACACCTGCTAGTGGTGACTCAGCAAGTTTCCAAGATTCCTGTAAAGCAGCCTCCCTTTTCCTTTATCAATCATAGGGTTATGGCTCCACAGAACCCATGACAGAGCCTTCTACTCCCCTTGGAAAATTTTTCTGCTTAAAAATATTCCTAATTCACGTAAGTTGAGTTGATACTCAACCTGCTGAGCCCATTAACTCACCTCACTCCAGCTGCCATCATTTTCCTGTGGGATGGTGACAGTCTCACTTTTGTACTCAGCCAGCACATCCTCATTCTCAGAGAGCAGCTTCACGCACAGCTCATAGAGGCAGCCAGCATCCCTGCGTCCTGCATACCTACAAGGACATCCAAGCTGTTGGCATTACCTGGAAGAGCTCTGCCAAGGCTCCACCACACTCACCAAGTTACTGTGGCCTTGGTTTGAGATGGAAATCTGCCATGGTTCTCAGCCCAGCCCACCACCTCCCCTCATTCACCCCAGGAACCTGGGCTCCGGAGTTCATGTGCTCCAACAGTTTAAAGCCCAATATATATGAGGTCTATGTCCTCCCTACTCTTCCTTTCCTTTCCTTTCCTTTCCTTTCCTTTCCTTTCCTTTCCTTTCCTTTCCTTTCCTTTCCTTTCCTTTCCCCTTTCCTTTCCTTTCCTTTCCCTCTGCCTGTCCTCAGAGCCTTCCTT